GCTGTATCTTGAGCTGGACTTTCTTGGTATGTGCTGGAGTGAAAATGAGTCGACCCTCGGTGGTCATGAGCATGTTGGGGCTGTCCGAGCTCCTGTCTTTCTGCCTCTGCAGAGCTGGGCGGAGCTGCCAAGGAGCCAATGGCAGGAGAGGGACTGGCTGGGGATGTCTGTCTGAGCTTTGCACAGGAATCTAGGTAGGAAGCTCATGAATACCACAGGGAAGGGAGGAACTTAGCTAAGTAAAATGTAGCCCCATGCTCGGAATAATTAAGAAAAGGTACAGCCTCAAAATCTGTTTTTTGTTTTTTATAACAGAGACATGGCCCTATTTATAGCATGGCTTGGCATTAAAATTCAGCTTGCAACAGCTTTTTGAAACAGCTTGCAACAAAACCTGTGATATTGACTTTCTGCTAATATACCAGCCCTGATAAGATGCTAAGGTATTAAAAGGGTGGTTTTTCAGATACTGAGGTACCATAGTGATCTCCTTTACATTGAATGTCTTTGTCATTTCTTTTTTTTTTTTTTTTAATTTTTGTTTTTATTTATTTATGATAGTCACACACAGAGAGAGAGAGGCAGAGACACAGGCAGAGGGAGAAGCAGGCTCCATGCACTGGGAGCCCGATGTGGGATTCGATCCCGGGTCTCCAGGATCGCGCCCCGGGCCAAAGGCAGGCGCCAAACCGCTGCGCCACCCAGGGATCCCATGCGCCACCCAGGGATCCCTGTCATTTCTTTGTTATAAAAAAACAAAACCAAAAACTCTAAATATATATATTTAGTACATGTTATATATTAAATATATATCATACATAGAAAAACCTCTAAATAAATAAATAAATAATAAATAAGCAAATAAATAAACATGGCAGTTGGAGCAGACCATCACTGTACTTATACTGAAAAAAAAATATATATTAGTTTGAGTCTTCATAATGGTAGTAATATGTATCAACTTGGCCTGAAACTTGTGGTAAGCAAAGTTGAGTGTTGTGTAGTTCAACCTAAACTGGATCCTTATTAAACTTTCAACTCATGGGCAGCCTGGGTGGCTCAGCGGTTTAGCGCCAACTTCAGCCCAGGGCCTGATCCTGGAGACCTGGGATCCAGTCCCATTTCGGGCTCCCTGCATGGAGCCTGCTTCTCCCTCTGCCTTTGTCTCTGCCTCTCTCTCTCATGAATACAACAAAAACAAAACCCACAAAAAAAATCTTTCAACTCGTTTTTGTTACTCATTTTATTTTTATTTATTTAAATATTTTATTTATTTATTCATAAAAGACAACAGAGAGAGAGGCAGAGATATAGGCAGAGGGATTAGTAGGCTTCCCTTGGGGATCACGACCTGAGCCAAAGGCAGACACTCAACCACTGAGCCACCTAGGTGCCCCGTAACTCATTTTAAAGTAAGAAAATTTAATAAGGGCCGTGTGAAGTCAGTCTTGAGGACAGAAAGTGAGAGGCATTCCTCTGTAGCTGGTGTTGTCATTGTTTTTGAGAATGTGATTAAAGGCAAGGAGATCTGTCATGTGACAACAGCGATAATTTTAGAGACAAAAATCTAATTGTAATAGTAGTTTATTAACGTTCAAAATAAAAACACCTGCATCCTGAATGCAACAGTATTTGCTAGTTTTGGTATGTATTGAACACTGAGCTGGGCACCAGATACAGCCAGATGAAACCTCCTTCCAGCACTGTCCACTTAGTGGTTAGGAGGCAGAAAGGTGGATAAGAGAAGAAGGATCCTATCGTGAAGGAGCACACACTCTAGCGGAGAAGGCAGAAAAGGAATCTGAGGGCTGGAAGGGGTGGGTGTTGTGGGGGCCTGGGTTGAGGTAAGCCATCCCTGCACTTATATTGAATATTTAGCACCAGTTGCGTTAGGTTTCTATACAAGATGCCTTACGTGATGACTTACATGTTAATTTGTTTGGTTCCTGCTAAAATAGAGAGTACCCTTAGGTGGAAATTAAGATAAAAAGAAGTCAGTCCCTGATTTATATTCGTGGAGTATTTTTGTGTCTTGGGTGTACCTGTGTATATGGTGGCTCCACTAAAATCAGTTGTCACATTGGCTTGGAATACCAACATGGAAGAATAATATGGCATAGTGCTGTTTACAGGAGAGGGATGCATCTCATTACATAACATTTAATACTTCTAATATGCCTTCCAAGAAGGGTTCTGGCCCAGAAAATTATAAAGGAGAATTAAGAATAGAACCAGAATTTCAGAAAGCTGGGAAATACTTTGTTCAGCTTTCTTCACACAACAGTGAATTAGTAAGTGATATAGATCCCTCTTGAACAAATATTTTTTAATTATCATTTGAATGGATGCCAATTCTAAGCCTGCCAGAGTGTGCAGCTCTCACTCCTGCCCTGGAAGAGTACGGGCCAGGTGGAAAGGGTGGTATGACAACATAGGAATTGCTTGGGTACAATTCTAGTCATGGTACAGACGATGGAACTTTTGAAGAACCCAGAAAGGTTCTTTATGGACTTCATTCTGACAGCGGTGAATTAGGTAAGAGGGTGACATGTTTGCATTGAGATCTGGAAAGATTAGTGTGACTGCACGGTGAGGACAGACTGGATTGGGAGGTGCGTGCAGGAGCAGGGGTGGGGAGGCCTGGAGACTCACAGGGATCTAGGTGAGACAGGATGGTGGTCTGAGCTAGTGGATGGAGACAAGTGTGTGGATTCCACAGGGGAGGTAGAGTTTGCCAGGATTTGGGACCCACTAGTCAGGGGGCTGAGGGCGTGGCCATTCAGAACTCTGATGGAGCAGGGGTGCTGTAGTTCACCACCAAGTCAGAGGACATGGGCAGGTGCAGGTTTGAGGTGGGTGTGAGTAGGAAGGAAATCAACTTGTACCTGGGAATCTGGAATAGTGAATCGCTGAAATGAAGTGGCACAGAATAGGGAGGAGAACACAGTAATAAAAAAATGTGGGGATCCCTGGGTGGCGCAGTGGTTTGGCGCCTGCCTTTGGCCCAGGGCGCGATCCTGGAGACCCAGGATCGAGTCCCACGTCGGGCTCCCGGTGCATGGAGCCTGCTTCTCCCTCTGCCTGTGTCTCTGCCTCTCTCTCTCTCTCTCTCTCTCTATCATAAATAAAAATTAAAAAAAAATGTGGATGCCTATCACCAAATTCCCTTAAGTGAAGGAAAACTTCACTGCACTTAAATTGAATATTCAGTACAAGTTTATTTACTAAGGTTTCTACACATGATGCCTTCTGTGACCAATCAAGTGTAAATTCGTTTAGCTCATACTCAAATAGCATCCTCAAGGGGAAATTAAAACAGCAAACCACACATTTCTCAAATGTTGGTCTATGTATCAAATATAGATGTACAAGCTTGGAGGCCTGAAGATAGGCCCTAAGCTTAGATGGTCCTCAGGAATTTTTTGTGAACTATGACTTATCCACAATATTAAAATGCTTAGATATGAATTAATGAGGATAAAGTTAACTGACTTGGTCATACAATTATTTTGAAAGAAAATCTGAAATTCAGTAAATAAGATTGGTTGTATAACTAAATCATTTAAACACCTTGATCAACCTTGGTAAAACATGATTTCCCCCTCCAACTCCTTTCCCAGCTGAGATCTGCAGGGCAGTTATCACTGGCTGATACGCTATATGTTCACTTACTTGTTTTTCTTCTCTTTCTGTTCTTCTTACCTAGGATGTTGGCTCTGCCAGGAAAAGATTTAGTCTGTTCTGCTCACTGCTATAGCCTCAGCACCTAGTACAGTATCCACATGTATGCATTTGCTAAGTATCTGTTGAAGGAATGCTGTTTTTTTTTAATTCTTATTTATTTATGATAGTCACACACACACAGAGAGAGAGAGAGAGAGAGAGAGAGAGAGAGAGAGAGAGAGAGAGAGGCAGAGACACAGGCAGAGGGAGAAGCAGGCTCCATGCACCAGGAGCCCGACGTGGGATTCGATCCCGGGTCTCCAGGATCGCGCCCTGGGCCAAAGGCAGGCGCTAAACCGCTGCGCCACCCAGGGATCCCCAGGAATGCTGTTGAATAAATAAAATGAATGTCAATACAGACGACCCTGATAACATAGATGGAAGCAGAAGTTTCTGCAAGGTACTCTGAGGGCAATATAGCTAATTTCACAACTGGCCTCTAAATATAGCCCTGTTTAGAGTTTTCTGCCTGGACCGGTTTTCTTCCCAACATTTACCCAAAACGTGCATTTTTACGGATTCAAGCTCCACCGAATTAAGTCTTAAAAACCAGCACATGTGAATGAACGGAGATATGCTTAATTTTAAACTCTGCACTCGGTGGGCAATTCTGTGAAGACGGGCAACTTCCAGCTGTGAAGCCTGGCGTGCCCTGTAAGGGCCCAGGATGCGCTGGACTTGCAACAGGGTTGCTCGAGGTCCGACACGCTCTAGAACTCCTGCCTCCCGTACGGGGGCAGCCGGCACTGCAGCCCGGGCTTCTGCAAATGCAAAAGCACCGTGTGGAACCGAGTCAGGTTAGATCCGCGTCCTCTCCCGCCCGCTGGAAGGAAGGAGGAGGGTAGCCTCGGGGTCCTGTGTCTCCCGAGACTCGGTTTCGTCTTCGGGACCCGAGACCCGAGGCTCGCGGGTGGGTGCCCAGGGCCCCCGGCAGGCCCGCGCGCGGGGAGCGGGGAGCGGGCGCCTACTGCGGAGCAGGGCACCAGCTCCGGCGGCCGGCCGCCTGCTGCAGCCGCCGCCCCCTTCAAAGCCCGGGAGCACCGCGCGCACCGCTCCCCCCGCCCCCGCCTCGAGCGAAACCAGCCGAGCGCGGCGGGGCGCGACCCCGGGGCGAGGGGCCCCGACGTGCCTCCCGGGCCGCCCCCTCGCTCGCCCACGCCGCCGGCCCCCGGGGCCCATCCCCGCGCTCCTCCCTTCGCGGGCTCCCCGCCCGCCGCCGCCGCCGCCGCCGCGCCCGCCGCCGCCCTCCGAGGCTTGTCCCTCGCCGCCCGCCGTAGCCCGGCGCTGGCCGGTCGCCGTTTCCAAGATGGCCGCGGCGCGAGCGGCTCCTGCGGCGGGCTAGAGGCGGAGGCGGAGCCGAGTCACTCCCGCACTCCGGGGCTCCGGTGCCCCGCGCCAGGCTGCAGCTTGCCGCCCGCCGCGGCCATGCGAGGCCCCGTGCACGGATGAGAGAAGCCGCCACCGCCGCCGAGCTGGTCCCCCCGCCCGCCTTCGCCGTCACGCCCGCCGCCGCCATGGAGGAGCCGCCGCCGCCGCCGCCGCCGCCGCCGCCGGGACCCGAGCCCGAGCCCGAGCCCGAGCCCGAGCGCTGCCGGGCGGCGAGGTGAGTGGGGCTGCCGCGGCGGCCCGGCGCGAGGAGCGGGTGGCGCGCCGGCCGGAACTCGGTCGGGAGGCCGAGGGGGCGTGGGGGCCCGCGCTTCCCGCCAGGTGGCGAGGGCTGCGTCCCGGTCCCGGGCCGGGCCCCGGAGGGGAGCGCAGGGGCGGGGCGGGGCGGGGCGGGGTGCAGCTCCGGGACCCGGGGCACCGCGGCCGGCCCGCGACCTCCTCCGCGACCTCCTCCGCGACCTGCGGGCGGGGGCCGCGCCGCAGCCGCAGCCGCAGCCGCGTGCAGCGTGGCCGGAGGGAAGCGCGCCCTCCGCGCCGCGCCGCGTCCGAGCAACCGAGCAGACAGACGCCTGCGGAGCCGACGCGCGCAGCCCGTTGCCCTGCGTCCCGCCGCCCTCCTTCTGCAACCCCCGCCCTTCGCCTCGCCTCGCCGCGCCGCGCCGCGCCTGCCGTCTCTCCGGTGGGAACCTGCGCTGGGTCCGTGCAGGCGGCCGGGCCGGGCCGGCTCGGCTCGGCTTCTCTCTCCGCGGGCCCCCTACCGCCTCGGCTGGCGGCGTGCGAGCTGCACATCGTCGCCCGCACGTGCCCGCACACAAAGTACGGGGCTGCTGGCTCTGAAACTTTGCAACCGCCTGACGCTCCTAAGATGGAACTTCGGCCCCCAGAGCATTTGTTGCATTCCGTTCCCGAGACACTCTTGCTCATGAATTTTATGTCGGTTTTTTTTTTCTTTCTTTCTTTCTTTCTTCCTGATTGGGAAGTCAGACTCCCCATACCCAAGGATTTACCTCTTCTCATGTGCTTACGTTTGTTCTGTTCCACTGTCCTCTTAGCCCGTCCTTCGCATCCCAGAGTTAAACTTGCAAACTGCTGCCCCCTGTCCCTTGTAATGGAAATACTTGCAGAGTTCCTCTTGAATCTTCCTGTCTTGCTCTGTACTTCCAGGAATACGGCAAAGAAGCGTCCTCTTTATTTTTCCTGCTTTAAAAAAAAAAAAAAAAAAAAGAAAGAAAGAAAAAGTTTGAATTTGGTTAGCCCCGAACACAGAAACCGTATTCTTGCTTGTCGACCCAGTCAGTTCAAACAGATTTTATTTTTAGGAGCTGCGAAAGACTTCGTTCTTCGTTTTCCTGGAATTCTGAGACACTTCTGTGGACTTTTAAGGAACAGCTTCTCTAAATCATATTGCAGGGTGTAGCGAGAACACGTTTTGTGCCTTGCGAAATCCGTCTAACGTTTTTAGGAGTGTTGCCAGAATACCTTATTGTATAAATCCCTTAGTAGATTATCTTTGAGCGTCTTGACTTAAGTTTTTAAGAAGAATAAGAAGGACACTTACTGACTGCTTAAAATGTGCCATTTGCTTTGCTTCCATAATTTTTACAGCCACCCCGTGAGGTAGGTCCTGTTATCTCTGTTTTACGAATGAGTAAACTGAGCCACAAAGGTTCTGCTGTGTTTTGTCTAAGCTTTCACAGCTAGTTGGACACAAGTCTGGCTGCACACCCTTAAACACCTTGAAGAGGAGGCGTGATTTTATTACCCAAACGGACAGATCAGAGGTTATAAATCAGTGTAACGGTACTTTGGAAATAAGTAGACATGAACCTTCTTAGGTAAAAGTAAGAAGGGCGGAGAGGAGTGGGAATGTGCTGAACAATCGCTTTCCCCAAGGATAAAAAGAAACCTTGATTTTTTTTTTTTTTTCCAAGTCAGGTTGCCTTTCTGTCTTTGTTATAATAAAAATAGGTCAGGATAAATGGGCTTCATCCAACTTTAAGTGAACAGCAGTGTGCAGAACAAGATCTTAGAAATATTTTTCTTAGCAACATTATAGTTAATTTTACAATAGCAAATCTGTAAAACAGATTACTTGGCCAAGCTCTGATTTTGTGTTTTATACACACACTCATTATCACCACCACCTCTTCCATACACAGAGCCGACCTCTGACAAACTTCCTGTGGATCATCAGTAAAAGTTGCTGCTCTAGGGGTTCTGCAACTGTATATTTGAATTTCTCTTATTTGTGTTTGTAACTATTTTAAAGAAGCTCAGTATGCACGTTCAAAATGATAGATGCCACATTTTAACACCGGAGACCAAAAATGTGATTTATGCTACCAGATTAACTGGTTTTGGGACAGACGGAATAAAACTTCTGCCGTCTTTGTTCACGTACTTCATGTTAACGTGTCATTGATTAGGAAGGCTGCTTTAAGGCACAGGTCTTTTGTAGGATGCAGGCCTACACATGTTGGCCAGTGCACCACTGTGGCAGGTGCCAGCCCAGCACATCTGTTTGGTGCATGGTGACGTGAGAGTTATGCAATCACCGAGGAACACAAAACAGGTTGAGAGGTGATAGTACTCTATTGTAGTTTTACTTCTGATTGTCCGTCGTGGCTACTTCTTGTCCTTATTTATGATAAAGAATCGTAAGGGTAGCAGTTATTAGTGATATAACTTAGAAGTAAACATTTCTTATAATTTCTTTTTCAAGCTTCTGGGTCATTTGTAGGAGGATCCTGAGATTACAAGGAGAGCTATTAAAACTAATTTGGAACAACTTACCTCTGTGATTTCTTGAATCTGTACTTAAAAAAAAAAAAAAAACAGAACTTGGATGTTAAGGCTGATAAAAGACTGCTCTTACCTGTAACTTTTCATTTAAAATGTTTATATTAAAATAGCCTCATTGTTTTCACTTATTGACTTTGAGAAATACATGTTACTTTAGCTTAAAAATACCTTTTTTTTTTTTAAACCAAGGTACTTTGATTTACTATTTATTTAAAAAGATGGTTCTTTTAAGTTCATTTGAAAAAAAAAATGGGCTTCACTAGTAAAAGTACTTGAATATCCTGTCATTCCTGGGCGATTTGATCTCTCTCTCAACTTGAATGTCTCCTTTGAGCCGACATGTATCAGTCTTGACATTGGATGTCACCTATTCTACCTAATGAAATCCACCTTATGGTGCAGCTGCAGACTGCCTGGGCAGCATCAGTGCTGGGTGTGGCCTGAGGCCATGACAACATTAGATCCCATTAGCGGGGGCGGCGTGGGGGCACAGAAGCAGTGACCATGCAGCCAGCGGTAACAAAGGGCTTCAGTGATGGCAGAAGCTTGCTCTTTCATGTTCTGAAATGGGGACAGCTTGTCTTCTCAAGAAGGACTTTGTGGTTCCCTTTAATCGTTATATTATTAGAAGTTGCTTCTGCTTCCTTCACAGGTCTTCTCTTGGTGTCTTGTAAATCTTGTTCTGAGCTCTACCTGAAACCTGGGGATATAAGGTCTTGATTGCTTACTGGATACATTTGCTTTAATAACTTCCTGTTACTTAATAATTCCTCATTCCTCATTGATTGTCTTTTTGCTCATAGCATTCTGTTGTCTCAGCTTTCTTATTTGACCAGGTGGTATGTATTCTTTTTAAAGACACCTGCATGTTGCCAATCAGTAGGCCATTGGAAATAGTTTCCTTAAAGAGAAAATAGAAGAAATGTCGGAAAAGCAGTTTGGGCAATGACTGCTGTGGGTCTTTTTGAGTTGGCATTCCCTTAGCAGGATAAGATAAGCAAGGTCTAGGTCCTGTGCCTCATCTCGGTCTCAGCTTTGTCTACATCTGGTGGGCCAGTGTATTTTTCTCTTGACTATAGAAAGCCACAGTATAATTGAGAAATTGATTGGTGAACATGACATCAGCAAGGAAAATTCGCTGAATGATCTTAGCGACTAATGTCACTAAGGAAGATTGGCTTGCATCCCCATCAGATGCACCCTCTTCTAGTGTGAGAGGCATGTGACAAAGTCTTACTCTTAGGCTTTCATTTCCTTAGATTTGAGACTGCTTTTTTCCCATCTTGTCATTAACTTCCCTCCATTAGTTGGGTGATAGTGTGTTTGTTTATAATCTTCAGTCTTACTTTAATTAGATTGTAACAGACCTTGCTCTTCTGGCTATACTTCGAAGCATATTGTATCTTTGTTCCTTAAAGACATTTCTTAATGTCTAGATTTTTACAAGTGCTAGATTTTTACTAGTGGTTAAGTCTCAGTGCTAGATTTTTACTAGTGTTAAGTCTCAGAAGGTCACAACTATCTCCACCCACCCTTTAATCCATCCCCCTGCCACCACCCCCCAGAAAGAATCCTGTGGCATAGTTTCTGAGAAAGGTGTGGCAGAGATCAGTGGTTGGTGCTTTCATAAAATGCTTTTTGACTCTTGTATTATGTTCAAAAAAAGATCATGATGGTATGTGGTTTTTCTGGATTTAAATCATTAAATGAAAAAAATTTAGAACCACATTAGAATTCTGTGCAGCTATTAAAAACCATGTTTTTAAGGACTATTCAGTGACATGAACAAATGCTCATGCCAGAAAACCTATAAAGAAAAGTCTTTATAGGTAAATGGGACCTGAGTATCCAGTTTTTAAAAGATTCTCAAGTAGTTCTAATGTGTACATACTCACCACTGTGTTCATTGAGAACAGATGATAAAAACAGTATTTGCAGAACGTGGTACCCAAGACTTGAGGTGGCTGCTCAGGTGGTCTATATTTCTCCACCGGTTACATCCGTCTTCACCAATATCTCCTCCTTTGTCCTCCCTCTCCTCCATTGTCATCTTTCTTTCCCTGTCAGCTCTAGCTCCTTGGTTCACATTGGACATGCCCTCTTCTTATATGTTCTGGCCTATGTAAGGATGGACACTCGACCCAAGCCAAGTCATTAGGATTCTTTCCTGGGTTTTAGAATTGGCACTGGAGGAGAGCAATGCTCTTTTTAATAACTAAAATATATATAATGTAGAGTTCTGAGCTTGGAGCTAGCTCTCTGAAGCTGTAGTAAGGCTCATAGAGAAGTAGTTTGGCCTCAGACAATAACGTCAGCCCCCAGAGAAAAGGCAGAGAGGCCAGAAGAGCACTTTGGCCAATTTCCTTTTATGCTAGATTCACTTCCATTTTTTTCTTGATTTGATATGTGAGTTAA